AGCCCCGGGGGTGCTCTTGCACGGGGGAGGGGGAGGGGGGCAGAAACAGAATTCCAGTCCCTGCGGGCCGCCACTCACCATCTTCTACCTCTTCTCTCTTCCTGGGGAGGCTGCCAAGGGGAGCAAGAAAGGTCAGCAGGAGCAGAGGCCATGCGAGAGTCCCCGGTGTCAAATCCCCCCCCACTCCAGCATCCTCTGCCCGGCCCTCAGCCCACCCTGAGCTGGTTGGGAGACCTCTGGGGTGGCCCAGGAGATGGTTACGGCGAGCCGAACTCTGCTAATGCCAGGGAAGCCTCGGTGAAGCCGCCAGGATTCCAGCTCCCTTTGAAGATGGGGCCATTGCCTCCACTGGATTCCCCAGCCCACCCCTCCATTCTCCAGAGGCCCTGCCAACATGGGCGCGTCTGGGCAGAAGAGCTGGGGAGGAAGGGAGGGAGACAAAGAAGCAAACCGCCCCCCTTTGAGCCCGATCTGATCCGTCTGGAGGGATGCTCTGGGTCCAGGGGCCACTCACTCAGGGTTGCTGTCACGGCTGGGCCTACAGGAAGAGCAGGAAAGGAGGGTGCGGTGAGGCCCAGCTGCATGCTGGGGGCACCCCTCGGTTGGAAGAGGAATGGCAGCCCAGGGACCTGGAGGGCAGGGCAGCCGCAGTCCCACAGAACGGAGGCAGCTCTGCCCGGGGGTCTGTCAGCCTGCAGCAGGGAAGGGCCAAACCCAGCTTGGCTCCACTGAGCACCCTCAGCTCTGGCTCGGCCCCCTTCTGGGTTGAGAGCAGCTGCTGAAGGTGGAGTGGGCGGGGGTCCTCTTCTGTTCCTGCTTGCTGGTGTGTGCTTGGGAAGAGGCAAAGAGGGGGGACTGAGGCGCCAAAGGGCCTTTCACCAAGCCCGGCCTGCCCTCCAACCCAGGAGTTCTGCAGCGGCAGGGAGCCTGTTCATCTGAGGGATGGGGCAGACCCGCCCAGCGGTGGGGGTCCCTGCCTCCGTGCAAGGGGCCTTCCTGCCTCGCTCAGTACCTGCTCCCTAAACAGGACAGCCAGCTTCCCATCCCACAGCCGAGGGGCCGGTCTGAGCTGGTGCTGCTGCTGCCCTGCTGCAGAATCCCGGCCGCCTCCAGCCATCGGATTCCGAGGCTTTATGAGGTCAGAGCTGCCGGCCCCGGCCCCCTTCAAGGCTCTGCTCTGCTGATGGGAGAGGAAGGCCGAGATCACCGGAAGAGGTAGCTGCCTCCGTCTCAAGCCCCCCCCCTGCCCAATTGCTCTGGTCAGTCTCCTGCCAGCAAGGCCATCTTTCTGCTGGGAGGAAACGCCCAGCAGGGCAGCAGGCAGCAATGCGTTTGGGGAAGCCTCAAACTCACCAAAGTCAATTCTGGGAGTTGAAGTCCACCCATCTCAAAACATGCTGGCTGGGGAATTCTGGGAGTTGCCCACTCATCTTAAAGTGCCCAAGGTTGGGAAACACTGCACTAAACTGTGCAAGGCAACAGCAGAAAACCTGGACCCCTCCCAGAGGCCCACTTTTTGCAGGCATGCGGGAACAAGCCAGGTTGGGGTTGAGCTGCCTTCTCCTCCTAGGAGGGCTCAAATGAAGCCTTTCCAGCAGGTAAAACTCTTCCTCCTCCTGTTTTGGGACACCTCTTCCTCCACCAACCTACTGCAGTGGCCAATGAGCACACCCCACTCCCCACAAAAGCGGGGCCAAGAGAACTGCTGCTGTTTAAACCAACGTTTTGCAAAGCAACTACACAATGCTCGGGAGGCCGAGCGATACCCAAACTCTGTGCGCAAGGCGGGGGGGGCAGCACCGTTGCCACCCTCCACCCTTTAGAGGAGCGGAAAACCTTTTGGGGGAAGGAGGGGCCGTAGCCCCCACTTTCCAAAGAGGAGCAGAGAGGCAAGAAAACGAGAAGCCGGTGTTTTTTTTTAAAAAGGCATCCAACTGCTTTTATTCCAAAGTGACTGATCAGTATATTCCCTCTAGAAATTATTACTAGCTCAAAGCGTAGGACCGGCACGATGTCCGGCCAGGAGAGGTGCGGGTTGGCTGGGCAGAGACCGTTTCCTATTCCTGCTGTGGAAATGTTGGATCGCGCCCCCTTTCTGCCGAACGTCGGAGACGGAAAGGCGAGGATGACGGAATCTGGTTCGTAGCACCGGGGAAACCAGGAGGCCGGCTGGGGCCGGAGGGCAGACGGCCAGCTACAGGCTGGTGGAGCAAAAGAAGGACGGGGGGAGGACAGGATAGACACTGAGTCCTGCGTAGGAGTCAGACGATTCTGCCACCCATCCTAGCAGGTGATATTCCAAGATAGACTCCCTTGAGGCAGGGAAGCTCCACCCAGCTCCCCTGGCTGGACCATTCTCCGCTTTGGGTGCCTACCTCTTCCCGTGATCTCTGCTTTCCTGCTCTTCCTCTCCCTCCTCCTCCTCCTCCTCTTCTTCCTCAGGGGCATCTTTTTCCTTCCTCTCTTCTGCTCCTGGCACGTTGACGGGGCTCCCGCTGCTGCTGTTCTTCCCCTCCTCCCCTGCCTCCGGCAGAGCGGGCTTCTGATTCTCAGCCTCCTGGGCTGCGTCCTCACAGCCCAGCTTCTCTCCAGCCGCTTCCGCCTGGTCCTCCCCGTCTTTCATGCGCTTGGGAGAGAAATCCTGCAAGGGAACACGCTGCTCTCAGCACCCCTTTGGGACGGATGTGAAGGAGGGGAGCCAAAGAGAGGTCAACGCCGAGGCCGCGGGATTGGGCAGGTGCTCTCTGGGGCCGAAGATCTGCCTCCCCTCCCCGGGCCACCCCACCGCCGGGGCCCAGATGCCCTACCTCCAAGGCCCCCGCGGCTTTCCTCTTGTGGGCAGCCTTCTCGTTCTTCTCCTTGACTTGCTCGTCGATCACCAGGTCTCCCTCCTCGTGGCTGCTCCCTTCGGGGCTGCCCTTCTTCCCCGTATCAGGGTCCTGTTCAGCTTTGCCTTCCTCCGTGGGGTGCTTCTTCTGAGCCGGCTGCCAAAGAAGCTGCAATCAATGGGAGGCGCTCGGAGAAGGATGAGCGGGCAGGCTGGAGAAAGCGAGGCAGCTGCCGCAGGGCCGAGGCTGCCTCAGTGTCCCCAGGGGAGCAGAATCAGGCCCAGCTTCTCTGTTTACTCCCCTCATCAGCGCATTTAATGCTGTATGGTCTTTTGCCACCCATCCAGCAAACACTCTGTCATTGCACGGGGTTAAAACGTCAGAACCAGCAGGTGACCCGGCTAAGTCAGCCCAGGGCCGAAGCAGGGCAGATCTGTGATCTGGCCCCCGGTTACCTGTTCCGAAACAGGAATGCCAAATATTTCTGCTGAGATCAGACCAGTGCTGGGGCCCTCGGGGACTCGAACGGGGAGTCCAACCCAGACCCGGCTGAGACCTTGACTGATCCTGGGCTCAAGGGTCAAAGTTGGTGCCTCCCTTTCTTTGCACCAGCAGCTTGGCTCCTATCTAGCGGACACCGCCCCCCTCCCTGCGCAGCAAACTGATCCCGCCCACCCGCGGCCCACCTGGTATCCCGAGGCCTTGACGGTGGGGTTGTTTTCGATCTCCCACAGGCCTTCACTGAAGCCTTTCCGCTTGTTCGCTTTGCCAAACTTCACCTTGCACTCTTCGTAAGGAAAGAGGTCCTTGGCGCCCAGAAAGGCCCTGTGGGGGGGCAGAGAGGGGTGGATGGTCAGACTGAGCGGGCGCTAAAAGGGCATCTGAAAATTCAAGGGAGGGCACCTTTCCTAGCAGCCGGGGACAAGGTGGGTAGAGATTCCCCTCCAGCATCAGAAGCAGTCTACCTTTCACTCCCAGGGGCTTAGGAAGTGACGATGGCTGCCCCATTCTGTGGGTGGAGGGTTTTCCTGTGGGTGTCTTCTGGGGAGCAGGAGGGCCCTGATCCAGCACGGCTCTTTGCATTACTCACGTTTCATGAGTTCCAAAGAAAAAGACCTGGTATTTGTTGGAAGCTGATTTCACAGCGGATTCTGGCATTTCATCAATCTGTGTGGAGAAA